AAAAAACCATCCAGGAGTGATTTGCTTGTACTCTTGAATGGAAACATGCTGGATGCAGTGTTCAATGCCCTTGCTGCTGACGTCAGCACGGCTTTGCATATGGAGACTCGACCATACAAGAAGCGTAGTGGGTGAAGTGACCTTTGGAGCAATAATTTGTGGCTTGTGCTGGCCAAAAATGTGTGTTGCCTATTCAATGTATAATTGGTTTTGTGTTGGTTCATGTTTTGCAAGCTTTCTTAGCTGCTGAATTGCAAGCCTCAGTGGCTTTTTCCTTGCAAGCAAGCCTCAGTGGCTATACTGTTTATTGCATTGTCTCTAAACCTTGTCAAGCCTCATTGGCTTCAGTCATCCAGCCTCAGTGGCTGATCCCATGCGAGCAGTTTCAATCAACTACTGCCTTATAGTCTTATCAAGCCTCACTGGCTTTAGCCAGCAAGCCTCAGTGGCTTCTTCTTGGCAAGCAAACATGAGTGGCTTTAGTGTTATCAATGTTTCCCATTCACTTGTATGACAAACATTCTGGTGCAGCAATTGGATCTTAAGTGGAAAAATAGAAGTGTGCATCAGATCACTCAAGTGGACTTGCTGCAATGGCCTGGCCTGAAATTACGAAAGTGTACAACACTGCTGAAGGCACTGTGATCCAGTGGGAAGATGGCTCCACTGATTTGTATCTTGGTTACCATTGATATGGTCTTGAAATCATTTCAACATTTGAATAAGATGCAAATTGTGTTTTGAAAAGGGTTCAGAACAGTTGTGTTTGTATGATTGTGAAAGAATTCTTTGATTGGTTTTCTTTGTTCATCCCAGGCTGGCCAAGGAGGACTGGTACACCAATGTTGTCTGCAGCTGCTGGGTAATGGTGAATGGCAAAGAGTGGCGTGTGAGCAGATTTTATGGAGGATGGGAGTATTGGGTGACCAAAGCAGATGCAGAGTGGTTTGCGTGGCACCGGCCTGAAGGCAAAGTGGGCCTGAAAACCAAGATACTGTTCACCAACCATGTGAATGTGCTTGAAGAATTTTAATGATAATGTTGAGAGACTGGAGTGGCAAGTGTTTTTGAGTGGAAGTGGAAAAGAAAAAAGTTTGTGTGTCTCCACTTTGTGTTTTTTCTTTCATACTTTGCACGCTTTCTTGGCTGCTGAATTGCAAGCCTCAGTGGCTTCTTCAGTGGGAGCATCCGGTACACCAATGTTGTCTTTGCTTGCTTCGGCAATACCAGAGGTCATGAAGGGATCACCTTGCAGCAGGGAGCCGATGTTATCCCACATGCCGACCCAGCTGAATCCAGCGAGTTCCAAAGCTCGGGAGAGGGCATGGGTGAGACTGGCCGGAAGTCCCATGCGATCGAAAGCATGAGTGGGATAGCAAATTTGTCGAACGCCATTGGTCAGATCGGCCGCGCCGATGAAGGAAGGAAGGGTCGGATCCGAGCCTCGGTGAGTGCTTGCAATAGTTGGGCTTCCAATTTAATGAGAGCATCCGGTAGGGCCGTATATGCGTGGAGACCCTTGTTGCGAAGACCACCGTGAAGTTGCGATGGAAGAGTGTCGCAGATCCATGGAGCTCGGCCAACTCTTTGGCGGACCAGCCATCCGGACCTGAGGCTTTGGTTGGTGGAACTGGTGCGTCTGGCCGGGTTTGGTGCTGCTGCTGGCTGTGCTGTGTTCTCGCTGGATCTGGGCCGCTGCTGTGTGGGTGTGTGTGATGGCCAGATTTGGCGCCAAAAGTCGACCGTGGCGTCGTGAATGGCATCTCGGGAAAGAGGCCGACCCTGGTGGAGGATACCGGTCAACGGGGTGGTCTGACGATCACGGGCCAGCCAATGATATAGACGTTTTGTTCGTTGTCTTGCAGGCGACGACGCCAGGCAGCAATTCGCTGCATGGCGCTTGATGGCTGGCGAGTTCCTGGTGGAGCCATTCGAGAAGGGCCTGCTGGTGTGCTGGGCTCTCGGTGGTAACTCAAGGCACGGGCCTCGCGACGCAGTTTTGCGACGGGCTTGGGAGCGTTGGATCGAGGTCTGCAGAGTGTGAAAGGTGAAGAATTCGTGTTGGCGTCGCCACAGGTGACGGAGCCGAGTCGTGCGCACAGTTTGGTCGATTTCCTGATATATATACAGTAAGGTCGATGGTGATGGGCCACAATGTAGGTTCGAGAGGGAAATTGCCCTTATGTCTGTGGCGGGGTTGCTTTGGCGCTGGGCCATGGTACTGATCTTAGTTTGCCAAGCCATCTTCATTGCGTGGCTCAGGGCTTGATTGAAGGAAGTCCAATTGGGAGAACGTGATCTGGGAGAGTAGTTTGGTCGTGGTTCAGTGGGCAACTGCAACGGAAGATCCAGATCATATAGCAGGACTTTATGATCGCTGAACTTTTCTTGGCGGACAAGGGTATAGCCCCCCGACCCATCGCATTTGCGGTCGCCCTGCAAGTCCAAATCCAAGGGCGCCGCACTGCCAACTGCGAGGCGGGCATCCGAGAGAGGATCAAATCTCAGAGGGGCAGCTGCATGGTGGTCGAAGTTGTGAGAACAAAAATCCACTTTGTCCGGATCCTTGTGAGGCTGTTTGGTGGACGCACTGCGTCGACCTCCCCGACCCATCACATTTGCGGACGCGCCGCAAGACCGCGGGCGCCGCACTGAGGACCGCGAGGCGGGCAAGGGGTTGGACGCGGAGAGTGAGGAGGCAGCTGAAGAGCTGCTTTTGGTGGAATAGGAGCCGTGAAAGAGGGTGGCTGGAGAGCGAAGTCACCCTTGAGGTGGCGGAACCTTATATCCAATGAGGAGCGTAGGGCTTTGTTCAAGCGCGGTGGCAAAGCGGGTTGAAAGAAGCTGGTGCCATTGACAGCTCGGCCGGCCTGAGAGGCGTTGGTTGTGATGGCATGAGTCACGCCACTCTTTGCGCCGATCGGAGAGCTCCTTTCGATACTGAACGCGGGCATATCTTTGACCGAGGCTTTGCTTGGAGGTCTTTTGCTCTTGGCTTGGATTAGTCAGGGAGGGAGAAGCCGAGCGTGGAGGCCAAAAGTTGCTTCTTTGGTCGCAGGACAGTCTGGGCCACCATTTGGCTCGGTTGGCCGGTATGGTCTTGGGTGTGCAGTTCTGGTGGTACATTTTACCTGTCGACCCTTTACCAAGGCACCTTTTGCAAATCCAGGTGGCGCTCTTTGGAGCACAAGATGTGAGGCCGGCTGACTGGACGTGGATAAGATCGCCAAGATCGCGCTGATTTTCTGATGGAACCAATTGCTGCGTCTGTTTGGCCCGGAGGTGGCAACGGAGGGTGAGGTTGCTGCGGCCACGTGGTCTGGTGGATCATTTCATAAACGCTTGTTTTTGTAGTACTTCCCGTTGTTATGGCCTTTGACTCGGACGTTCTCCGAGCAGACTGGGCACTGCCAGTCATACCAGCCTTCTACGGTTGGACGTGCTGCCTCTCGTCTGCAGATCTTCCGCGCAAGTGGAGCAGGTTGAGATAGCCGTTGATGCAATTTGAAGAGCTGAGGCAGACAATGCCGGGGCCTGGGGCCCATCTGTAGAACTGCTCAAGGGATTGCTTATGGGCGGACTAAGACTGAGGGGCCTCAGGTGGGGCGGACTAAGACTTAATCGAGTGGAGGCCGTGCGATGCTGGGTGTCAAGGCGTGAATGCGCACAAGGTGTTTTTGTAGCGGAAGCGAACCCCGGTGGGGGCGGGTGGAGCTGTTGTTGGTTTTGCTTCTGCTTTGGCTGGGGCACCGACCCCGCGTTGGATGTGGGCTGGTGCGGCTGTGCGTGTGTCTGCAGTGGCTGTGGTTTGTGAACTCCTCGCTCACCCTTCCACGTCTGTTCTGAGTTCAACTCTCGCTCACCCTTCTTCTTCGTCTGTTCAGAGTTGAATACTTGCTCGCCATCCTTCTTCGTCCGTTCTGAGTTGAACTGCCGGGGCACCGACCTCTGGGCCGGCTGGTGGCTGCGTGTGCGTGTGTGGGTTTGCTACTCTGCTTTCTTTTTCCCACACAGCAATGCTCAAGCCTGTGCGTTCGGCTAAGGAGTGAATGGCGAGTCCATCGGCCCAGGTGCCTTGGTGCTCCATGTTGGTACACCATTCGTCGAGCGTTGTGGCTGGGGCCTCGGTGGGGCCTGGGGTAAACCATTCTTGAAGCCGGTCCTTGCGCTTGCGGGTATGTGCCACCATCAGAGCGTAGTTCCGCTCCTGCGATCGAAGTTTCCTGTTCTGTGAGGGTTGTGTTTGGCTTTGGCGGCTGCAACGGCGCGGAAACAACAACCGTTACCTTTAAGAGGTCCTCACAGGTCCGGTTTGCAGGAAGTGTCGTATACTTAGGAGAACCCTGTGCCTGCTAGGTACTTAGCAAGGTTATCTTACTTAACTAGATGTATGTTAGACATATGTTAGATGTATGTTAGAAGCATGTTAGATACATGTTAAATGGTTAGGGCTTTTAGGAAGGTTAGCTAAAAGAAAAACAAGTTAGGCTAACTTTGTTAACTCTGCTAACTTTTAGCAGGTGGTTAGCTCAAAAGT